AAGATTTCAAAATAAAATATTAAAAGAAGAAGATATTGATGAATTATATAATTTATATAATCCTGAGCCGCAAAAAACAAAGATGCAAAACGCCCAGGTCATTCAGACCATAAATGAAGCACAAGCTTTAATTTATGATTCATTAGTTAAACCATATTCAGCCCGACTTTTAAATGAAGATCAACTTTTGGAATTCATCCTTCAACATAAACTCGAAGCGGGAAAGTATATCAAACCTTTATATACAGCATATTTAAAACAAATGAATAGAATACATCCAGAATTAATGAAGGGGGAAATGAATTCCAAAATCAAAGCAGATAAAATTAAATCACTTGCAATACCAAAACCTCCAACAGTAGTACCTCCTCCTTCAGTTAATCCTTCATCATTCACTTTATTATATCCATTTCAAACATTAAAGAAGCAAAAAGATTTTAAAAAGGATTTCAAGATATTAAATAAACCAACTGACCCAAAAATTCAACCGTTAAAGGAAAAATTTAGTCGCCCCTATTTGCACCATATCCATATTCATACGAAATCGATCATCTGGAATATTCAAAAGGAAACGTTACTTATTTATTTGCCATTAACATTAACACCAGATATTTATATTGCATTCCGGTGAAAGGGAAAACAGAACAGGAAACAAGAAGAGCTATACAATACTTACTAGATCATGAAAGAGTAGATAATATAAGGGGTGATGGTGATAAAGGATTTCAGGCAGCTATGGCTCATTATTTCCCACAAATTAATTTTTACTTTTCATCCTCTCCATATACGTTTCATAATAAAATAGTTGATGCGGTAATGAGAACTCTTAGAGATGCGTTAGGGGTTAACGGTCAGATATACTGGGATGGAAATCATGACTCCATCATACAGCAGTTAGTATATTATTACAATAATACATGGCATAGAACTATAAACATGAAACCAGTGGAAATGAAAAATGATATTTCAAAAGAATGGGAATATATTAGAAAACAAATGAAAGGTTAAATGATGTTAACACGTGAACAAATTAATTCGGGGCTCATGAATTTTAACAAGGGATAAAGTTTTGATTCATCTCGATTATGGAAAAACTGATAAAATCAATGACAAAAAGAAGACGAAGATTACACAATAGCTGAATTTGTTAGATATATTAAGGTAATGTATTAGTTGAGGTTAACAATAAATTAATAGAAATTCCGATTTATTTTATTACTCCATTATATTTAAATAATATTAATTTTTTTATTTCGTAGAAATGAGTGACAACGAGCAGCCAAGAGTCCAGACGATGAATATAAAAAGAAACTAAACAAAATTAAATCAAAAATATGCTATTACAAAAAAGAAGCCGCAATGTGGTGGGGCTGAAAAGATAAAGAGAGGAAAGAAATAATCGAAAAATTAGAAACTTACCGTTCAATCCTTAAACTGAGTGAAGCAAAAATAAAAGAATTTAATAGAATAAATAAATTGATTGGAAGAGATGAATTTAATAAAGATGAATTTTTAAACTCAATCCAAATTTAATTTTTTCAGTGTTACCATGTTACCATATGCTACCAGGTCAATTAACTTCTCTGAAAAAATGAGACAACATGACATTTTGACAACATCACTGAAGGAAGGTATTTATGAATTATTTTTGAAGAACTGAAGGTGTTACCATGTTACCATATGCTACCAGGTCAATTAACTTCTCTGAAAAAATGAGACAACATGACATTTTGACAACATCACTGAAGGAAGGTATTTATGAATTATTTTTGAAGAACTGAAGGTGTTACCATGTTACCATATGCTACCAGGTCAATTAACTTCTCTGAAAAATGAGACAACATGACATTTTGACAACATCACTGAAGGAAGGTATATTTTAATGATTATTTTGAAGAACTGAAGGTGTTTACCATGTTACCATATGCTACCAGGTCAATTAACTTCTCTGAAAAAATGAGACAACATGACATTTTGACAACATCACTGAAGGAAGGTATTTATGAATTATTTTTGAAGAACTGAAGTGTTTACCATGTTACCATATGCTACCAGGTCAATTAACTTCTCTGAAAAAATGAGACAACATGACATTTTGACAACATCACTGAAGGAAGGTATTTATGAATTATTTTTGAAGAACTGAAGGTGTTACCATGTTACCATATGCTACCAGGTCAATTAACTTCTCTGAAAAAATGAGACAACATGACATTTTGACAAACATCACTGAAGGAAGGTATTTATGAATTATTTTTGAAGAACTGAAGGTGTTACCATGTTACCATATGCTACCAGGTCAATTAACTTCTCTGAAAAAATGAGACAACATGACATTTTGACAACATCACTGAAGGAAGGTATTTATGAATTATTTTTGAAGAACTGAAGGTGTTACCATGTTACCATATGCTACCAGGTCAATTAACTTCTCTGAAAAAATGAGACAACATGACATTTTGACAACATCACTGAAGGAAGGTATTTATGAATTATTTTTGAAGAACTGAAGGTGTTACCATGTTACCATATGCTACCAGGTCAATTAACTTCTCTGAAAAATGAGACAACATGACATTTTGACAACATCACTGAAGGAAGGTATTTATGAATTATTTTTGAAGAACTGAAGGTGTTACCATGTTACCATATGCTACCAGGTCAATTAACTTCTCTGAAAAAATGAGACAACATGACATTTTGACAACATCACTGAAGGAAGGTATTTATGAATTATTTTTGAAGAACTGAAGGTGTTACCATGTTACCATATGCTACCAGGTCAATTAACTTCTCTGAAAAAATGAGACAACATGACATTTTGACAACATCACTGAAGGAAGGTATTTATGAATTATTTTTGAAGAACTGAAGGTGTTACCATGTTACCATATGCTACCAGGTCAATTAACTTCTCTGAAAAAATGAGACAACATGACATTTTGACAACATCACTGAAGGAAGGTATTTATGAATTATTTTTGAAGAACTGAAGGTGTTACCATGTTACCATATGCTACCAGGTCAATTAACTTCTCTGAAAAAATGAGACAACATGACATTTTGACAACATCACTGAAGGAAGGTATTTATGAATTATTTTTGAAGAACTGAAGGTGTTACCATGTTACCATATGCTACCAGGTCAATTAACTTCTCTGAAAAAATGAGACAACATGACATTTTGACAACATCACTGAAGGAAGGTATTTATGAATTATTTTTGAAGAACTGAAGGTGTTACCATGTTACCATATGCTACCAGGTCAATTAACTTCTCTGAAAAAATGAGACAACATGACATTTTGACAACATCACTGAAGGAAGGTATTTATGAATTATTTTTGAAGAACTGAAGGTGTTACCATGTTACCATAATGCTACCAGGTCAATTAACTTCTCTGAAAAAATGAGAAACAATGACATTTTGACAACATCACTGAAGGAAGGTATTTATGAATTATTTTTGAAGAACTGAAGGTGTTACCATGTTACCATATGCTACCAGGTCAATTAACTTCTCTGAAAAAATGAGACAACTATGACATTTTGACAACATCACTGAAGGAAGGTATTTATGAATTATTTTTGAAGACTGAAGGTGTTACCATGTTACCATATGCTACCAGGTCAATTAACTTCTCTGAAAAAATGAGACAACATGACATTTTGACAACATCACTGAAGGAAGGTATTTATGAATTATTTTTGAAGAACTGAAGGTGTTACCATGTTACCATATGCTACCAGGTCAATTAACTTCTCTGAAAAAATGAGACAACCATGACATTTTGACAACATCACTGAAGGAAGGTATTTATGAATTATTTTTGAAAGAACTGAAAGTGTTTACCAATGTTACAATTGC